TTTGCTCTCCACTGTTCTTAATGCTTATGCTAATTTGATCACTTAGTATTTGATTCCAAGTTTAATCTTTTATCATTAATCCTGAATTAGATTGCTAGATCTGTTGAGAGCAAGCATCACATCCCTGATCAGCGAAAGTAGATATCAGGGTGTGATGTGAGCATTTTAGGTCTGTTCTTATTGTTTGCTGTTAAGTCGTAATACACGCGAGAGCGTAGTAACTCATTGCTCTTCCGCGAAAGGAGCGCTGCTGTGAGAGCAGGGTGTTCTAGTTTGAAACCTAAGTTCTAGGCTGTTCTTAATAAGCTTGAATAATTGTTTGGTTCATCATGATTAACACCCAATGAGATACCCTAGGTTGACATCCTTATATCCTGAAATTAAAACCCATTTTAATTATTTGTTTCTCACTATTTGCTTCTTTACAAAACTTATCGTTTTAGCTTGAAATTGATCTTATAAAAATAAAGTGTATTATTTGGTCTCTGTGGATTCGATCCTTAAGTGTTACATCGACATACCATTCGATTGTGGTAGTGTGCACATTAGGTTAATTGGTGTGTGTTCGCACGCGATATCAAAGACACTGGAATCACAAGTCCATAGATTCTAAGCGAAACCAACGTTTCAATGTTAGTCCCGCATTAATCTTTTCGGAGTTGTGATCCCAGTAGTTTTTTTCTCTCTTTTTCTTAGATTTTTAAAAAAAATTCGACTCAATTATCAACTCTCTTTTTTAATATATTTCAAAATATTAGTTTAGATTTTCGAGATAACAATGGATACTTTTGAAATATTTGAAAAAGAAGAGAAGAAAGATACTCGAATCACAAGTCCGTAGATTTTATGTGAAACCAACGTTTCAATGTACGTCTCGCATTAATCTCTTCGGAGTTGTGATCCGAGTACCTTTCTTCCCTCTTTTTCAAATCTTTCAACTCTTTATCTAAAATATTTTAAAATATTTGTTTGGGTTTTGGAGAAAACGATGGCTCTTTTATAGGGGACATTACGACTACCTAACTTCGAATTTTTACGACTAATTAGCATCTTCTTCCATCATTTAGTCGTAATCGAGTCGTACATTACGACCAATTAGCATCGACCTACCATTAAACCCTTGACCGAAATCCTAAACACGAGTGATCGTACAGTAGTTGTAATTTAACGACTACAGTACTTTTACTCGGACACGTGGTCGTACATTGGCCGTTATTTTACGACTAATGTACGTCTAATGGAATTGATAGCAAGTTAACCTCTGTTTTACGACTAATTCTTTTTTAGACGTAAAGTAGTCGTAAAATAGATGGTTAATTACGACTACATATATGTAGTCGTAATATGTAGACGCTATGATAGCGTTTTCTTGTAGTGAATTAATTATCAAAATTTCTAAATTAAAAGTTGAATAAATATAATCACAAACATAGAAATTGTATTTTTTAAATATAAGAAAAATACATAAAATTTCCTATTTACAGAAAATTTCAGAAAAAATAAAAGAAAAATATACCCATGCTTTGTAGGGTTTAAGAGGGTTTAAGTGATCAACTTTTAATAGAAATAAATATTCTTATAAATTCATTTATTTTATCGAGTTTTTAATAGGTTATTAGATCATAAAATATTTTTAAAATGTGAATGTACTTAAAATTATTGAAGAGCGTATTAATCCATATATATTTATTTAACAGAATATATTAAAAATAATTTTTCCAAACATTTTTAAAAACATTGTTTGGTTTTCGGTGTGGGTTAGATTTAATATTGATTTTCTGATGTAACACTAAAACCGTTCGTGTATATAGGTTAGGTGTAATAGAGTATAAGACTTTGATTTTCGAGATGATTCCGAATTAATTTTTTGGTAAGAATATTCTTGACTAATTATGTTAAATAACTACTAAGAAAATATAGTATATTGTAAACTTTAAGAATAAACTTTAAAACTAACTTTTGAAACACATATGACACAAGTATATAGTTATGCAATTTGACATATTAAATATAGTTATCAGAACAAGTATATAGTTATATAATTTGACATATTTAATATAATTTTTAAAATTATATTAAATTAAATTGATATTAAACACAAATATAAAAATTAAAATTTTCAAAAAAAATTTAAACAAAAAATATACCAGAATCTAGTTTATATATTACTAATTTACTATAAACAAGAAAGTAACTTGTCGTGTATACTAACCCTATAGACTAATCTAGAAACAATACTTTAGCGTTTATCTGATAACATATATAGTCAAGCCGCCCCTACCAGCTAATAATTTTATATTATGAAAATCAGGAAAGAAAATGAACATTCCTCATTCAGATAACTTCAAACATGTAAATACTAATAAACTAATAAAATAAACAAGCCAGTACATAAACCTTACCTCTATAAAATCCACGATAAATATCAACAAAAGATCACACCTACGCAAACAAGTACGAAAAAAATATAAAAATGTCAAGCATCCCACTCTCTACGTTCGTATTCTCCATCCTTTTCCTCATCTCCACCGCGACGGGCGCCACATTCGAGATCCTGAACCAATGTGGTTACACCGTATGGGCTGCCGCAAGTCCCGGAGGGGGCCGGCGTCTAAACTCCGGGCAGTCATGGACACTAAATGTTCCTGCTGGCACGTCTATGGCACGGATTTGGGGTCGGACCAACTGTAACTTTGACTCCTCTGGGCGTGGCCGCTGCGAAACCGGTGACTGTAGTGGTGGACTTCAGTGTACCGGTTGGGGCCAGCCACCAAACACGTTGGCTGAGTATGCTTTATCAGATTAATTGGTTATTGGTTTAGTTAGTCTGGTTTAGTTATAGTTGGTTATTGATTTCTGGTCCACATTATTGACCGGTTCTCTATTGTATATATAGATCAATTCGATCTCAATGTGGAATAAGAAAACAGTTTACCAAAAGTCTGTTACACTAATATGGTATCAGAGCAATCCTTTTGCTCGTGACTCTGAATCTCTTCCGCGAATCGATTTCTTCTTCATTTCTCACCAATCTTCACCGATCAATCGCTTCTCTAAGCTGAGATCTCTTCTCGACGAGCTCAGATTTGGTTAAAATGGTGAGGAGAGGTGGTAAGATGAAAACTCGAAGCTCTACGCCAGACGATGGTGATTCTGTTACTCGCAATCGATCGGCGACTCCGATCCCCGACGAACCAGATGATTTCCTTTCCAATCCACCCCAAACTCACCGGAATCTCCATCGCGATAGCTCTGGATCTGCTCCGAAGCCAACGGAATCGTACGATAGTACTCATAGTCCGTTCTTTCTACATTCGGCGGATCATCCAGGTCTATCGATCGTTTCTCATACTCTAGATGGAACTAATTACAATAGTTGGTCAATAGCAATGAGGATTAGTCTTGATGCGAAGAATAAATTAGGATTCGTTGACGGAACCTTAGCTAGACCTGCTGTTGATGATCGTTTGTTCAAGATCTGGAGTAGATGTAACAGTATGGTGAAATCTTGGTTGCTGAATGTGGTTAACAAGGAGATCTATGATAGCATTTTGTATTATGATGATGCTGCTCAGATGTGGGATGATTTGTTTCGAAGGTTCAAGGTGAACAATCTTCCGAGGAAATATCAACTTGAACAGGCTGTGATGAGTCTCAAGCAAGGCCAATTAGATCTGTCTACATACTTTACTCAAAAGAAGACGTTATGGGAGCAACTAGCTAATACCAAGTCCTCTTCAGTAAAGAAATGTGATTGTGATCAAGTTAAGGAGCTACTTGAGGAAGCTGAAACTAGCCGGATCATTCAATTCTTGATGGGACTCAACGACAACTTTAACAATATCAGGGGTCAGATATTGAACATGAAGCCTCGTCCTGCACTGAATGATATCTACAACATGCTTGACCAAGATGAAAGTCAGAGAACAATTGGTAATCATACGAAAGGGAATTCTAATCCCACAGCTTTTCAGATGCAGTCTCCTCAGACAGAGACGAATCAGATTCTGTTAGCACATGGAGGATTCCAGAAACCAAAATGTTCTCATTGTCATCGTATTGGTCATACTGTGGAGAAGTGTTACAAAGTTCATGGATATCCACCGGGTCATCCTCAGAGGAACAAAGTGGCAAAGCAGATTGGGAGTACAAATCTTGCAGCTTCTCCGGTTCTTGATACTTCATCGAAAGAAGAAAAGGAAGTTAATGAAGGCATGACTAAAGAGCAGATTCAGCACATGATTTCTTACTTGAGTGGTCAACTTCAGCTTTCTACTTCAAGACCAGAGTTGCACAGCATCAAGCTCCAAACTCCTTGTCCTGTATCCGCAAAGAACTTTGCTTCCGTATCTGCTTCCGTACCAAATACTTCACAAATTACCGGTACTTTCCTTACTTTCAAAACTTCTATTGGTGACATCCTCAATTCTTCTATCTCTAAGGAAACTGATATGTCTCTTAGAGCTTGGGTTATAGATTCTGGAGCTAGTCATCATGTTACTCATGATAGGTCTATGTTTATAGAGTATAAACCCTTAGATCAAACATTCGTTACCTTACCTAATGGTTACATTGTCCAGATAGAAGGGACTGGTTTTATTCAGTTGACTGATGTTTTATCTCTCCACAATGTTCTATTCATTCCTGATTTTAAATACAACTTGTTAAGTGTTAGTGTTCTGACTAAAACTTTAAACTCAGAAGTTCGATTTACTCCTTATGATTGTTTTATTCAGGATCCTATTCAGGAGTTGATGATTGGTCAAGGTAGAGAGATTGGAAACCTTTATGTTCTGAATTTTCCTATTTCCCACAATGCTTTCTCTGTTAAAGGTATGTCTACTATTTGTGCTACTGGTGTTGTTGACTCTACTCTATGGCATAGACGTTTAGGACATCCTTCAATGAATAAAATTGTTGAACTTTCTGATGTATTGCTCATACCGACACGCAAAATTAATAAAACTCATTCACCTTGTCACATATGTCATTTGTCTAAGCAGAAACATTTACCCTTTTCTTTACGTCAAAATATGTGCTCTACGTCATTTGAATTGGTTCATATAGATACTTGGGGTCCTTTCTCAGTACCTACTATTGACGGATTTCGATTTTTCTTGACCATTGTTGATGATTATAGTAGAGCTACTTGGGTTTACTTGCTTAAACATAAGTCTGATGTGTCATCTGTGTTCCCTGGTTTTCTTAATTTGGTTGAAACTCAATATAAAATGAAAGTTCGTTCTGTCAGATCTGATAATGCACATGAATTGAAATTTAATGACTTGTACTTAGAAAAAGGTATTAAAGCATTTCATTCATGTCCTGAAACACCTGAACAGAACTCTGTGGTTGAGAGAAAACATCAGCACCTTCTAAACGTTGCTAGAGCTCTTTTATTTCAATCTGGTCTAGACTTAGAGTTCTGGGGGGAGTGTGTTTTAACCTCTGTTTTTCTCATTAATAGACTACCTTCTAAAGTTTTAGCTGGTTTGTCTCCGTATGAAAAGCTTATGTCTCAGAAACCAGAATATCAATCCCTTAGATCTTTTGGTTGTCTATGTTATAGCTCCACTTCCACTAGTCATAGAACCAAATTTGATCCTAGAGCCAAAGCTTGTGTTTTTCTAGGATATCCATCCGGTTACAAAGGGTATAAGCTGTTAGATATAGAGACTAAATCAGTTTCTATTTCGAGGCATGTCATCTTCTATGAGAATATTTTCCCCTTTGTTTCTTCTACCATTCCGGAAGATTCAAAGCATTTCTTTCCTCATCTTTATAATCAGCCTTCTTCTGATGAACAAACGCATTCTGCGTCAACATCGTCTGATACTCATCCTTTAGATGAGATATCTTCTGTGCCTTCACTTTCTACTGAGTTGATTTCTTCTCGTCAACGCAGACCTCCTTCTCATTTACAGGATTATCACTGCTATACTACTCATAGTGATCCTGTTCCACTTAAACTTCCTATTACTACTCCTCGTATAACTACTCCTTATCCTATCACCAAATATATTTCTTATTCGAAAATATCTGAGCCTTTCTATGCGTTTCTTAATATCATTACAAATGTTCCTATTCCGCAAAGTTACGCTGAAGCAAAGAAGGATAAGGTATGGTGTGATACCATGAGTTTGGAACTTGATGCTTTCAAACGAACGGAAACTTGGAGTATTACTGAATTGCCTCCGGGTAAGACTGCTATTGGATGTAAGTGGGTGAATACTATTAAGTATAATGCAGATGGAAGTGAGGAGAGAAAGAAATCTAGGCTTGTTGCTAAAGGGTACACTCAACAAGAAGGTATAGATTTCCTTGACACCTTTTCTCCTGTGGCGAAGATGGCTACTGTGAAGATACTACTTTCACTTGCTGCCAAGATGAAATGGAAGTTGACACAGCTAGATATCTCTAACGCTTTTCTGAATGGGGATTTGGACGAGGAAATCTATATGAAGTTACCTCCTGGTTATGCTGAATTAACAGGAGAATCTGTGTCTCCAACTGCAGTTTGTCGGCTTCATAAATCCATTTATGGATTGAAGCAAGCTTCAAGACAGTGGTTTCTTAAATTTTCCACTACATTGAAGGATTTGGGATTTGTGAAAGCGCATGGAGATCACACGATGTTTGTTAGAGGACTTGGTGAAAAGTTCCTTGTGATGTTGGTTTATGTTGACGACATTTTAATAGCAAGCCTAGATGATGAGGAAGTGAATGGGGTTAAGCATCAATTGAGTTTAGCTTTCAAGCTTCGAGATCTTGGACCACCAAAGTTCTTTCTTGGTATAGAGATTGCACGGTCAAGCGAAGGTATATCCCTGAACCAACGGAAGTATGTTTTGGACTTGTTGGAGTTTTCAGGATACTCGGGTTGCAAACCGTCCTCTGTTCCTATGGAACCTAACCAGAAAATATCTCAAGACGATGGGGTCTTACTCACTGATGGCAAACCATATAGAAAACTTCTTGGAAAACTACAATACTTGACGATCACGCGTCCGGATATCTCCTTTGCTGTTTCAAAGCTAGCTCAGTATTCTTCGGCTCCTACTGATGTTCATCTCCTCGCCCTTAACAAGATTCTTCGTTATCTCAAAGGTACTATTGGTCAAGGCATTTTCTATGGCACTGATCAGAACTTTGACATCCGTGGTTACTCTGACTCGGATTGGGGAGGCTGTACTGATTCTCGAAGGTCTGTCACTGGATATGCTATGTTTGTGGGTGATTCGTTGGTTTCATGGAGATCAAAGAAGCAAGATACTGTGTCTACAAGTTCAGCTGAGGCTGAGTATAGAGCGATGTGTGCGGCCACGAAGGAGCTGATGTGGGTATCTTACGTTCTCACTGATCTTCACATTCCTTATTCTCTACCGGTTCATCTTTATTGTGACAATACAGCAGCTCTGCATATTGCAAGTAATCCTGTTTTCCATGAGAGAACTAAGTTCTTGGAGATGGATTGTCACAAGGTTAGAGAGAAGATTGAAGATGGGTTTATGAAGACCATGTATGTGCGCTCAGGCAATCAGCTAGCTGATGTCCTTACCAAAGCTCTATATCCAGCACCATTTCGAGATAACATACGCAAGATGGGAGTTACAAATATTTTTGCACCTTCATCTTGAGGGGGGATATCAGATTAATTGGTTATTGGTTTAGTTAGTCTGGTTTAGTTATAGTTGGTTATTGATTTCTGGTCCACATTATTGACCGGTTCTCTATTGTATATATAGATCAATTCGATCTCAATGTGGAATAAGAAAACAGTTTACCAAAAGTCTGTTACACTAATATGCTTTGAACCAATTCAACAATTTGGACTTCTACGACATTTCACTTGTCGACGGATTTAACATTCCTATGGAGTTTAGGTAAGAATATATTGTCACTAGAAAAGCGCAAAAAAAAGAAGTTTAAATCGTTTCTATTTCTTCTGTTTTCCTGGATTTTCTTTTTGGTGTAAATGTTAAACTTTTCTTGGATTTTCTATGTTGTTGGCAACTTTAAACCGGTGAAACCGTCTTTTCTGGTGGAGAAAAAGAATTGTAACAATCGGAAGTCTATATTAGAGAAGAGTTTTAAAGGATGCTGATTATTATTTTGCTGGTGTATATTGTATATCCAGCGCGAGCAGCTCGAGTTGCAAGCGGATACTATGCACTGCAGACATAAACGGGCAGTGTCCGAACGTACTGAGAGCGCCTGGTGGCTGCAACAACCCGTGCACGGTTTTTAAGACGAATGAGTACTGTTGTACAAATGGGCAGGGATCATGTACGGACACACAATACTCAAGATTCTTCAAACAGAGATGTCCCGACGCCTACAGCTATCCACAAGACGACCCTACCAGCACTTTCACTTGCAGTAACACTAACTATAGGGTCGTGTTTTGTCCAAGGGCTAGGCTTGGTGCTACTGGGACCGACGAGCTCCCAATCAAGATGGTCACTGAGGAGAATTAATGAAGAGACGAATCTCCATTGTATGTGTCTGTGTGAGTATGTACGCGTGACTATCCCACTGAATAAATAATAATGAAAGCAATAAGAGTAATTAAAGTTGGTCGACCAATGTACAAGTTGAACTGAATTTGTCTCTTTCCCGTCAAACTTTATATATTATAGGTTAAAAAATAAAAATTCTACACGTTACTTGGATTATAGATAATTTTCATTTATATTTCTAAACTGGCTAGAAGATTATGAACAATAAGTCTTAATTTTCAATTATAAGAACTCGAATTATAGAACTTTGTTAAAATCGTAGTTCTTAGGAAGACAAGTTTTACCAAAATACTTGACTGAATGATCTAATGAGCTTTCAATATCTAATCAAAAATATATTAAAATACTATATTCATTTAAGGGATATGCTTGATTGAAAAACCGTTCCCAATTAAAGAATGAAAAATACTGCCAAAAAACCCTCATATATCAAAAAGCCAATTAAATAACATGCAATTTCTGTTTAAATCTTTTTAATTTATTCATTTTAAACCTCAATTTTTGTTGACCAAATTATATAACTACATGATAAGTCAAGGTTTAAAATAGACAATTTTCAAAAAAAAATTAAGATTAAAATATTTTAAATGGATTCATTTTTTTGTTTTTGAAAATTATTTTCACTTCAAATTAGATGACATTTATAATTTTCAAAGTAAGTTTATTCATTTTTTTCTTTTATATAAATTTTTCTATTCTGTGTTAACGTTTTTATTTATGGAATTATAATTAGGTGAATAGTTAATGATGTTTTGGTTAGATAAAGTAAAAAATTAGTCTTTTTCTTTAATTTGTTTGAATAAATCAAAATTCAAAGTAAAAATGAAATATGGTAATTTAGTTGATTATATATATCAGTACGTCTATATTTGTAAATACATATGTTTCACAAAAAATGTTATATTTTTCTCTTTTATACAAATTACTATTTATTTATATGCCAAATTATGTTTCAATTTAAATTTAACGTTTGAACAACAATTTAGAAAATAGTATTAATATATATTATTAAATATATTTAATTTAATTATATGATTATAAATGTATTCTGTTATATATTTAGAATGGTATTAATTTGATAAAAGTGTTATTAATATTAAAAAATCACATATTGTGATATTTTTGATGTAGTTAAAATCATAACATTAATCATATAACATAATACTAAAAATAATATATACGATTATATATGTATAATCATAAAATGTTTTTGGCACCATTGTCGCACCATAATACTAAAAATAATAACACAACTATATAAGCTCATTAAATACGTGTGCCGTCTAGTCGTAACTCAATTTTTGTGTTGGTGTCAGATTACAGTGAATTCAAGTCGTGCAAAGATATACAGGTCACTATACTTTTATAATGATCATTTTGACTAATTCAATGTTTGTTTGCGTATAAAGAACAAGTTATACCAATTTGTGTCTGCTTTCAGCCTTTCAGGATCATCACGGTCAATAAACTACTTGTGTTTGGCATCATCGTCGCTGTATGTAGACATATAAATCTTAAAAGAGTTTAATGACGGGTCTCCATAATCAATCAAGGATTGGGCATAAAAGAATATACCTTCAAATTATGAATGGAAAGGCAGTACAAAGATACAAAGATACAAAGATACAAAGATAGAAAGACAGATATCATGCATATTGATTTATCTATATTGCAAATCATTCACGTTTATTATGTATGTTTCAGGCAATAAAAGCAGGAGACATGCAAGGTGTAAAGTTTTTTTTTTGTCTTTTCTGCATAAAACAGGTGACTTGCATACATTTCCATCGCTACAGTTTTTGATGTTGTTCTATATTCCACCCTATTTTAAATTTTTTACCGCTTACTAGATCTATGCGTGGTCATTCAAAATTCTTAGACACATGCAAGGTTGAAAGTTTTTTTGTCTTTTTCTGCATAAAACAGGTGATTTGCATAGGTTTTTTTTTTTTTTTTTTTGATTTGCTAGGATGGGTTCGGGTTTTCGGCCTCCCCTAGGCCCGGTACCAGTCTGCGTCTGTATCCACGCAATGGGGCCTAAGTCATACCGTGGCCAGTACGAGTCGAACCCAGGATCGTACTTGCAGCTGCATAGATTTGTATCCTTAGTTCTATGCATATGGTCATAAATAAGAATATCAAAAACGAAACTCTCTAGTTTTGTAGTGGGCATTAGAGAAAAAAACAAATACTGTAGTTTTCTGCTGTGTGTACACTGGTGCTATCTCTTATTTTTATTTTGGTAAATTGTATATAATTATGGGATAATTTGCAAAATACCCTCTTTAGGATTTGAAATTTGATAAATGCATTTTCTATTTTACTTTTTGAAAAATACACTTCCTTAATTATGAATTGATTTTTTTACCCAATATATTTCAATAATTACGATTTAATTCAAAATTAATATATAAATTCGTAATTAATAAAAATCCCTAAAAATAATATCATTAAAATTATTTTATTTAAGATAAATATGCCCTTTGAGATAAATATGTTATTTTATCATTTAAATTTTATAATAACAAAGATAAATATATGAATTATGATTTATTTTGACTTTATTATGAAGTTTATACAGAACTTTTGTCAGCATAAAATAGAATCATAATTAGAAACTGATATTTGATTTATGAATCAACAAACCTCTCTTAATGAGATAATAGGAAGAATCTGTAAAAAGAGAAAACAATTTCAGGAATGGAGGAGAAGAAACGACGCCTTACATTAATTTTTTTTTTCTTTTTTCAAAATAATAAATAATTTAAAATATTATTAAACAAATATTATGCAGATATTAGTGATATTAAATCAAAAAAAATATTGTGCAGATATTCTTATACCTTCTCACGATTTTTTAAAGTCATTTTTTAAAATAATATATTAGAAATAAAGAACTATTAAGAATGGGCAATTATGTAAATTTATGTTTCTATAAGTGTATTTTTCAAAAAATAAAAGTGAGGGTGTAGTTTTCAAGTTTTATTCTTATTGGACTGTATATTTCCAAATTTTCCCTATAATTATATATATATATATATATATATATATATATATATATATTATTTGATCAAATTTAATATATTTAATTGAAGAATTCTTCTGCTGTAGGGTGGAAGTTAAAAAAGTGTCGAAGTTTTGTTATGTGATGTACTAGTGATGGCCTCATTTCTCTCCAGTATAATGTAACGTTACTTTTTATTGCTATTTAATCATATTTATTTAATTATATTACTATCTTGACCAAATATAATAAGTATATATTAATAATTATATTTAATTGAATTTTTTAACTGTATATATATATATTAAGTGATAATGGAAAATGTGTCATATTTTAAACATATTAAAAACTACTGTATATAAATATATAAATATATATATATATATATATATATAATTTAAAAATATATTTTTAATGTAACAAATGATTTATATAATGTATAATATATACATATAAATTATTAGTATAATATTTTATAGATGTATCAATTGGAAAAAAAGATATGTGTAACATTTTAATTCACATAAAATGTAAAACAGAAAATAAAAATAACTAAATGTAGATAACAGTAAATTTATTAAAGAAAACAGTAATACATAAATTATTAAGATATCATTTATAAATTTATCATTCATAAGTTAATATGATTTTGTATTGTTGACAGAAAAATATTATATATATATTAATATGAATATTGAAGTAACATCATGTAACTATTTGTTATAGAATTAGTTCTATCCTTTTTTTGTCACAAGATTGAGTTCTATCCTATAAATTAGAATTATTCTTATAAATAAATTTAGAGTTTTTAGCTATAACATATGCATGTAATTAAATATTATAACTTTAAATATATATATATATATATATATATATATATATATATATATATATAAACTGAAAGTGAAAATTATGTCATATTTTACAACATATTAAAAACGAAAATTATATATATATATATATATATATATTTGAAAAAAATAATTTTAGTATAAAAAGGATTTATATAATGTATAATATATGCATGTAAATTATTAGTATAATAGTTAACTGAGTATCAATTGATATGTGAACTTTAATTCAGATAAAAATGTAAAGCAGAAAATGAATATATATATATATATATATATATATATATTAACAGTAATACATATTTTATTAAGATATTTATTTCAAAATTTATCATTTATAAATTAATATGATTTTGTATTACCAACATGAATATTGAAATAAAATGATATAACTATTTCTCATAGATTTAGTTTTGTTTTATCAAGTATAATTATTCTTATAAATTTATTTGTAATTATAGGTATATCAATTATATTTTCATGTTATCCTTATAAATATTGTTATTTTTTTACAAAATATTATAAGCACATCTAATAAAAAACATTTTTTCATAATATACAAATTTGTTACTAATCAGTTCAAACTAATATTATTTATATCATTTTTAAATTATAGATAAAACGGAAAATTGTAAACAAATACAAAATTTTCAGATGAGAAGATAGAAATCTACCTTCAAAGATGTTGGCATGGATAAATAGTTAACATTTTTTTTAACGGTTTAGAATAGTTAATACTAAAGTAAAATGATAAAATTATTAATTTTAAAGGGAAGACAATTTTAAATGGAATTCTAACCGAAAAGAATTGTTTATTGAGTATTAGATCGAGCAATTGCAATGAGCGATTACCGTTTTAAAGATCCTACTTTCATTGGTAGAGTGTTTCTAATTGATAAATCTAATCAAGAATTTAATAAAGAAAAACTTGATCAACTAAAAAGAAAATAAAAAAAGTACAAGCATCTTATGATAAATTCTACGGGCATTTTGGTTGATCCTACCACATCTATAATATATGCAGTTGATTCATAGTGAAAAGATTGTGAAGTAAGTACATATAATATTTTTTACAACCATAATATATTTAATAAATGACACATCTATAGTATATGTAGTCTAAAAACTATATACTCTTATTAACATATATATAGGATTGTAAAATCATTTAAACGGAAGCCGCCGAGCTTTGGGATGTGATGCAACAATGTTTTATATTATATGACGTCCAATCACAATCTCAATACTCTTTGCACCAAAGAAGAGAACAATTGATGAATAATGGTC